GGATTCAAGCTTAACAATAGTTTTGCTCTCGACCGGACCCTCGATTCGAAGCCAAATGCGTATGAAGAACTATGATTAAAATAAGAACCTTTCAATAGCTAGAAAATAGAGAAATAAGTTTATATTGCCTTGATATGCATGTTACAATGTGTCTATTGAATAAGAAGCTTCTCCTTTATATAGTAGGAGAGTTTTACCCCTAGTACAATTCTAAAAAAGGTAAAAATCTTCCTTGTACATCAATCACTGATACGCTACCGACATCGGGCGAGATCCGCGCCGTGATATTCGGTTAGGTGCGGATATCATGGCTCTCTGTTAGTCATGTGCAACCGTTTGTAGTGCTTTCCGAGGACTTGGAACTCGTTCCGGGTTCGGGGGAGGGGGGGGGGGTATTGTCTTGTCAGGCCCCGTGGCGAACACCCCGTTCTAACCTCGATTCAAAGAGTTTTCATATTCGATCTCTATCTCATACTTCGTATGACTCGCCGAGAACTCGGGGTGTGTGCTGACCCCGAGTTCACCCGTATACAATCTTTCTGCTTTATAAGTTAAATAAATGTTTTCATGAGTAATATTCTGTATAAAATGCTTTACCTTGTAAAATTATTTATTAACTAATTGGTATAAAATAAGTAACTCGTGGTAATGTAAAAGTCAGAGCACGATATACAATTAGGATATTGTTTTTGGTAGTGTTTTTGAGTACTTAAAGTTGACAAGAATGTTTAAATATTTTATTGAAACAAGTGCTGTGATGATATTTTTAATGTACAAATGACTTGTTCTCATATGCAAAATAAGTCATTTTCTCCCTTTGTGAGAGCGTAATATTATCAGTAGACAACAATTAAAAACAAAAAATCGAACCGCTAAATATGATTTCAATTTCAAAAATATTTTTCACCGTGCCAGATATACGCATAAACTCTTTTTAGTAGTTGTTCAGTTTTAGTGTTTCATCTTTTTTTTTCATGGTTTTTTTTCTCGTTAGAGTTCTAAGCTTTGTTTGCAACTTAGATATTTTCTTTTAAAGCCTGTTTGGACATAAGAAATTTTTCTCTTTTTAAAAAAAAAAAATTATTTTTTTCGAAATCAGACGTTTGTTCATAAAATTTTCAATTTTCACTTGAAGATATATTTTGGAAATTTTCGAAAATTTGAAAAACTCCAAAAAAATATTTTTCAAAATTTTCACTCAAATCACTCACAAAACTTCAAAAACAACCCAAAATTATATTCATGTCCAAACACAACTTTAAATTTCAAATGCCATTTTCACCCCCTATTTTGGAATTTTACAATTCTTATGTCCAAACGCCCACTTAATGTGTTGCTTAAATTCAATTATCAACATTTTACTTTTAACTAGTTATTTTTGAGTAACTGATTTGTTTTTATAAATTTTACACCTTTCTCACTTATTAGTCTGTTAATTTTGTATTATTGGCTATTTTAAGCCAAAAAAAAAGTTTTTAAAAATTTTAATAGTGATTTTTATGTGATACAAGTATAATTTTGAAATCACTGGAAAATTTAAACTAAACAGATTATCCATCACATTCAGAAGATGAAGTTATTGTTTCTCAAACTCGAAAACTTAAGGGGAATAATTGAAAAGTATTCTTTCATTAGTAGTCCAAATTGATTTACGAATCGTGGCATTACACATTTCGTAACACTTTTAATTTTTCAGTTTTCTTTTTATCACTGTCTATATGTTACTTATGTGGAAATTTTAAAATCTGTAAATACGTAATTGTTTCACATCGATCTTAACTTTAAACACTCCTTTATTCGTAGTACCTTTTTTGGAAATTTTTGCAGTGAGCTAGTGCTAATTTAAAGATATTTTAGAAAATTTTGTCCAATCTGTTTTAGTGTAAACAAAAAAAAATCAATTTTTGAAATACCAATGCGTACGTATCTCGTTGTGTACGTCAGAGAAAACTTCTAAATTACATATTTTATTTAAGGTTGAAGTGTAATTCGCTTTTGATAATGAACATCATGTGTAAGCCATGAAACACATCTAATCCGTAGTTAGGAACAGTGTTATCAGAGCAAAGATCTTTTTCACTACGTATCTTCTATATTATATTAAAAGGAGGGTAGTGAAGCATGAGGTTAAGCCAAGTGGCATATTGAGAAAAAGCCACTTGACACTTTTAAAACAAAATTTAAATAAATTTTATGACAAAATCTAATATAAATTAGCAAGATTATCACAAAATCTAATCTAAATTGTTCAAGAAATGTTTCTATAATAAAAGTTCTATTTAAGGAATATTCTCCCTTTAATTTTGGTCCAAGTGATAAACGAAAGAAGTGAATTTGTACTGATTTTCGTTCATGATACATTTCCAACTCAAGATTTAGCTTATGTGATATTATCCCTTTAATTTAGGTGCTTATTTAATAATAAAATATTTAGTTTGACTGATATTTATATATATATATATATATGCAGAGTCATTATTTATCTATATTTATATTCTAAAATTTTGTTTTAATAGAGAATGGTAATTTACAATGTGGTTAAGCCGAGTAACATATTAAGAGTAAGACACATAGCAAAATTAGGACAAAGCTAATAAAAATTGCAATAAATTTTTTTGAATTAATAAATTATATTTATATATCTATATCAATATTTTTTATATACATAAAATAAGAGGATAGTTGGTAATGTGGTGAAATCAAGTGGCAAAAATAATAAGAAGTCATTTGACAATTTTAGGATAAAATTAACAATTAATACTTAAAAAAAACTTTATTTACGAAAGTAATTAATATCAACTCTATCCTAAATTTAACGTAAATCTTCTATCTCCCTCTTTTTTTTTTTGGTTTGTTTTGTTTTTCATTTTCAGCTTTCATGTCTTATGATAGGTTATTATATACCAGACTTAAGAAAGTTAAAATAAATAATCGTAATACCGAATTTTACATTGGTAGATTACTAAGAAATGTCGTATTGTGTATAAGGCCACGTAACTGAAATCTAATAGATATAACAAAAAAAATTGAAGAATAAAAATAAATTAGAGATAAATAAAATAAATATGTAATACTTAAAAAAATTATTAACTAACTGAAATAATTTAAGAATTTAGAGCAATAGTTCAAAAATAAAATAAATATTTATGCAAGATAAAAAAATTACATATATATTTATATTATATTTTGATAATGATATTAAATGAAGTGACAAGTTAATGAAAAACCAAATGAAAATGTGATAATACTATATATTAGACTTTAAGTATATATTTTGAATTAGTTTAAATAAATAAATTAAATAGCTAGATAAAATAATATTATTGATACATTTAAATGATAAAAGAGTTCCGAGTAAGAGGATAAAATGTAAAAATATATTAAATTTCAAGAATAAAAAAATTATAACTATCGATGATTATTATAAGAAAGATTATCAAGACATTAAGTCAGTTGGTAAACTAATAAAAAATTACATGACATTAGACAATATTAAGTAATGAGTAATACAATAACTATAAGCAAAGAACAAAAAAAGAAAAAATGTAGAAGGATAAGACATATTTGAACTTGAGATGTAAAATAAAGTTTTAGTAAGAATTTTATTAAAATAATATGATTTAATATGCTCAAACAAGATAGATCACAATGTGACATGTTTAGTATTCTTTAATATTGATCACGAAATGAAATGCAAGTAATAAAATTAAGAGATTATGTTGTTACCAGACTTAAGAAAGTTAAAACAAATAATCGTAATACCGAACTTTACATTAGTAGATTACTAAGAAATGTCATATTGTGGAAAATGCCACGTAACTGAAGTCTAAAAGAAAAAAAAATGAAGAATAAAAATAAATTAGAGATAAATAAAATAAATATGCAATACTTAAAAAAATTATTGACTAATTGAAATAATTTAAGAATTTAGAGCAATAGTTTAAAAATAAAATAAATATTTATGCAAGATCAAAATTTTACTTATCTATTTATAATATATTTTGATAATGATATTAAATGAAGTGACAAGTTAATGAAAAGCACATGAAAATGTGATAATACTATATATTAGACTTTAAATATATACTTTGAATTATACTTATACTTTGAATTAGTTTAAATAAATAAATTAAATAACTAGATAAAATAATATTATTGATACATTTAAATGATAAAAGAGTCTCGAGTAAGAGGATAAAGTGTAAAAATATATTAAATTTTAGGAATAAAAAAATTATAATTATCGATGATTATTATAGAAAAAATTATTGAGACATTAAGTTAGTTGATAAACTAATAAAAAATCACATGACGGTAGACAATATTAAGTAATGAGTAATATAATAACTATAAGCAAAAAACAAAAAGAGAAAAAAATGTAGAAGGATAAGACATATTTGAACTTGAGATGCAAAACAAAGCTTTAGTAAGAATTTTATTAAAATAATATGATTTAATATGCTCAAACAAGATAGATCACAACGTGACATTTTTAGTATTCTTTAATATTGATCAAAGAATGAGATGCAAGTAACAAAATCAAGAGATTATGTTGTTACAAATTTAAAAAGAAAAAAAAAAAGCTTATCCACTACGAGATTTGAAAAATGATTTCATGTATTCTTCTTTTTTAATATTTAATGATTATCTATAATTTTTATGTGAAAATTAAATAGTAAGGTTATTTGCACATAACCTAAATAATATAAATCATAATTTGATATACTTTGTGTCCGTGCATTTAGCGAGTACTAATACTAGTTTATTTTAGTTGATAATATAGTCTAGCGAGAGAAAAATAATAATAACAATAACTCAGTATAATCCCACTAGTGAAACCTCTACTCTAGGGTAGAGAGGGTAGAGAGACTGTTTCCGATAGACTATCTGATTCCTCATTCCAAGAACTTCTCACGTTACATTTGGGTGACTCGAACTCACAATATCACTCGCAGTCACAATATCTTGATCGGTGCTTACCAGTAAACAAAGTCCAAAACAAAATGAGCTGTGGCAAAACGGACCATCCAAAGAACTAAAATACTCCCTCTCTACTGTACTACAGAATTCTCCTATTTCTCTATCTCTTTCTCTGTCGTCATTTATTCTGTTTTTGTTTCTGCAGACTCAGTAAAATCAACGAAAAAAAAAAAGGAAAGTCTTACCCTGTTTTTGCTCACAATCTTTGAGTTTGGGTTTTGTGTTCTTTGATTAATGGACACCCTTTAGACTCATCAGGTATGAATTACCGATTTCCAATTTATTCTTCTTTTTTTTTCCTTTTGGCTCATATTGTGGACCAAAAACTGTAATATTAAAACACCAGCTTGATAAAATTGGAAATGAAAGGACTGATCTTTTTTTTGGTTTGCTTTTTCGACAGAACCCAAATTAGGAAAAAAGAGTTAAAGAAAAGGAGAAAAAGGAACAGTCTTTGGGCACTGTGACACACACACATAGTTGCTGAAAGAAGGAATAATCATGGCCGTGGATGAGAATGGCTCGCTGAATCGGACGGACGCCAATGATTCTGCTGCCGTCGCTCATCAGAACGGCGTGCCACGGTCAACGTTACCCAATGATCAGAATCTTCAGATGAAAACCACAGTGCAGCATAAGCCTCAAATGGCTATCAGCGGGAATGGAGTGCTGAGTCAGCATAATTTTCATCATCAGAAAATGAACGGTGATGAGGAAGGGTTTAACAGCAGGGAGATGAGGGATTTGGAGGAAATGCTCTCAAAGTTGAACCCCATGGCTGAAGAGTTTGTGCCCCCCTCACTCTCTACCAACCACGGTGGAGTAGTGCAATTCCTTTCCGGTGGAGAACAATTTGGGTTTGATGCTTTCAATTTTTTTATGCAAGCTGGACTCGCTGGCGATGGAAATTTCAGCAGAAGGGTAACTAAATTTATCATGTTTTTATATAATAGCTACTGGAAAAAATTGTGCATATGCAAATGTTAGGTTGTCCAGTTTATGTATGTTAAATATAACATGATAACTTCTAGTACTAGGAAATTTCATACAGTTGGTATCATGCAAGAACATAAAAATGAGGATGGTCTAAAAGGAGGATTTTTGTGTCTCTCTCTGGCCCTATTATTTTGAAAAAAGAGAAGTCTATTGTAGTTAGCTTTTGTAACCTTGTTTGTTATGGAACACTGTCTTGGAGTGATGGCTAACTATTCGGGTTGAAATGGATTGGCAGAAGAGAAATGGCTATGGACTTGGTAGGAGAAAGATGAATGTCCGGACAAGCATGGCCCAACGCGAAGAGGTTATAAGGAGGACTGTTTATGTGTCTGACATTGATCATCAGGTGCTTAAAAAATGGTTACTTGTTCATTATATTTTATTTGGTTATTTCAATTTTCACCTTCATCTTTTTTCCATCGAGACTAATTTTTCTTATTCTGTGCAGGTGACTGAAGAGCAACTTGCTACACTCTTTCTTACTTGTGGGCAGGTGAATATGTTTCTCGTTTGGTCATGCTTCCTCATTCAGTCATATTTTATTGCATTTTTTTTTATGTTAATAAAATCTTTTGTTGCTGTAATGTGACTAACCTTAATGTGCTGAAGGTGGTCGACTGTCGCATATGTGGAGACCCCAATTCTGTACTCCGTTTCGCGTTTATTGAATTCACTGATGAAGGTATCTTGAACCATAATCTTTGGTTTGACATTTGTTTGGTTAAAGTTCTTGTTGTCTAACAGTGGTATTGTCCCATGTATGGTCTGCAGAAGGTGCAAGGAATGCTTTGAGTCTTGCAGGAACTATGCTAGGGTTTTACCCTGTGAGAGTGCTTCCCTCTAAAACTGCAATTGCGCCTGTTAATCCAGTATTTCTTCCAAGGGTGAGAAAATGTGTATACTTCTGGTACTTCCCTTTTGTAAAATTGCTTTTGAGGTGACGAATGGATACCCCCGTGTTGCTAATACTGAAACTTTTACCTTTGGCTATGGTATGCAGTCCGAAGATGAAAGGGAGATGTGTGCAAGAACTATATACTGTACAAACATTGATAAAAAGGTAATTTGGGTTTGTAATCCCTGCTTTATATTCTGGTCTTTGTTTCCGTTACTGATTTATTGTCTCTTTTCGTCTTCTTGAGCCGAGGGTCTATCGGAAACAACTTCTCTACCCCGGGGTAGGGGTGAGGTCTGCGTACACACTACCCTCCCCAGACCCCACTTGTGGGATTTTAGTGGGTTGTTGTTGTTGTTGTAATCCCTGCTTTATATTGTTGGAGTCTTGGAGAGCATCTATGAAGACAAATGCTTTATGACCTGTTCATTTGTATGAAGCAGGTTACTCAAGGAGATGTCAAGCTCTTCTTTGAATCCTTTTGTGGAGAGGTTTGTACTTTGTAGCTTCTCAGGTGACTTGTCTGAAAGTGCATGTCCTAGTTAAGGTCCTAACTCTGTACCTTTTTCTTCTCTAATGCAGGTTAAGCGCTTGAGGTTGCTTGGTGACTATCATCATTCCACTCGTATAGCTTTTGTCGAGTTTGTTATGGTAACTTCCATGAGCCTTTCTTGGTAACTTCCACTCGTATATCATAGTGTTCTGGACTCGTGCTTCTTTCTACTCTTAAGAACTAATAGAACCTCCAATCAGATGCTTTCAATGTGATGATGGAGATTTGGCAGTGCTTCCATTTACTGTTTCATGTTAGCTCAGAATGCATGTTTGTCTTTCACTATCCATGCATGTAGTTTTGCATTAGCTTGATGTTATTTGACTCTTTTACAATCTAAGTGTAAAAAATTTCAGTTTTTGGCCTTTTTGGGTAAAGTTCATCTGGGCAAAGTAAGTTCTTGGTAGTCGTGTAGCCACTCCTGTGAATTTGAGATAATGCTGACATAATTTGAATTTCGATTCAAAGTTTTTCTTCCCTTGCTTACTGGAATGCGAGTCGAAGTTTGTGTTGATATCTATCTCTGTCACCAGAAATTTATCCTAATCTACATAACATGAGCCATGTGAGCATTACTTTCTCTCTGGTAATAATCTTTATTGCAGTTGAAACTCTTTGGTGTGAAAAGGTCCATATCATCTGCAGGTCAGTTCTAGCTGTGGATGCTAATGTCCTTGTACTTCTTTTCAGTATAGCAGATGTGCTTGATTTTTATTGGTTGCTTATTTGTTAAGAGTAGTAGAGTGGATGACGAATATAGAGATATGGTACCCACTTGCTGTTCAATATAAATGGTTGAGGTATTTAGTTGTGTAGATAGAGTTACAGCTGGAGGGAGAGGGGTCCTCTGGTCAGCTGCTTAAAAAACGATCCCAATATAAAATTCCGCATAACTAATACATATAGACTATAAAATAAATAAAACTCTTATAACTAATAAAATTTTTGGTTTCTAGTGTGAAATCATAATTGATTCAATGTTTGATATAGGTACCCGGTCCATTTCAATTTATGTGTCTTATTTTCCTTTTTAGTCTATTTAAAAAAGAATGCCTTTAGTAACTCTTTAACTCCAACATTTCACATGGCATATTTAAGACCACTAGATTCAAGGACATTTTGGTACGTTACACACATCTTTACTTTAAGACCACAAGATTCAAAAGTCTTCCTTACTTTGCTTAATTAGTCAAACTAAGACACATAATTTAAGACGGAAGAAGTATTAAGTACTGCATTACTAATATTGGCATAACTTCCGCCGGTAATCTATGTATTATTTTATCTGGGATGGAATGTGGAATAGAAATATGTTTATTAGCAATATCTCTGTAAGAGTATCTACAAAATGCCTTTGAAGTTGACAACCCCTATGTATTATCATTTACCATATAATAATTTTTACATTATTATGATATTATTATTGGCCGGATAGTAGTTTTTAAAATGATATTGGCGGGATAGCAATCTTTACATAATTGATAATTATCCACTGCATAACATTATTTCATTATAATTCTTGCATAACTAATCTGTGATCAAAGGACCCCTTAATTCCTTAACTGGGATGAGTATGGGGTCTTCTTGCCTTTCTATCTTTTAGTTATCCGGGAAACAAATGGACAGTCTCAGAATCACTACATTTCGAAAAACTGGATGTTTGTTTTAAAAAGTTAAGTTGATTACTTCATGGAAGAAACCCGAAGACATTATAAGAAAAAATAATCACTTATAAAATGGTTCCTTGACAGCAGGAAATAAGAAGTTGCCTATGTTGTCATTTTGATCAGTTCAACAGGCATGTGGTATATTTGGCAGCTAATGAGTACATGCCAGTAGATTATTAGTAATTCACTGTAATGTGGGGTAAATAGAATTGCGATCTCGGTGTTTTTGAGGCTGCCCAGCTCGGATTTTCTTCATCTCTCAGTGACCAACTTTTGAGCTGTTACTTTGAGTGCGGACTTGGGGGTCTTGAATATATTATATGTTTATGGCTGTTGCTTTGATGGGAACCTTTACAACTTTTACTATGTGTAGTCTGTACGTCTTGTCACTTAAATGAAGCTGGAAGGAAGTTCTTTATACTTAGTACTCCTTCGTGAGATACTATTATATAAAGTAGATCTGCTTTACCATCCAAGTAATCTTCACATTGGACAAAAGTACTACTACTTTAGTGCCTATTATGTCGTTAAGTGTGGTTTTCACGACAAAGATTCTTCAATATGCTTGCATCAGGATATGATATATCTGAGAATTTCTCCGTTCCTCAGTTACTTTCAACTAGCATGCTATATCTTCATCCACCGGCATTCATTGAGAATGGATATAGGGAATTATAAAAGAGATTTTATTAGTCTTTGGTGGAGGTTCTAGATTTGAACTTCCTCATGGTACTCTCTCAGGATTGTGGATGCAATCTGCAACACATGTGGAATTTATGTTTAAAGGTGCCAGCTTTGTAAGTCATGTGGATGCAATCTGCAACACATCTGGGATTTGTAGAGTACACACTAGCTGTTTTTGGATAGGAGAATGCCACACTTCTGTTTACCTCCTCCTTGTGATTAGTTGTAGGTCCAAACTTTTACGGGAACACTTCTAGCTGTGGCAATGACGAGCTTTGTCGCTGTTAGACTTTACCTTATATTGTCTTCTTCGACCAGATGTATTTCTAGACTCTGTTGCTTACTTTCATGGAACATGCATGGTGTGGATTTTTCTCGCTTGGCGTTTTACTCGAGATTAGTTTGCTTGGTCTTGCATTTTATGATCTCAATAATTGGTCCCAAAAGTCCTTATACTCCCCATAATGTTATATATATTTGAGGAAATTCAAAGTAGAAAATTTTGAATTCCTCCGTTCTACTGCTTATTATTTTTGTTTCGCTCTCCCTTGAAGGAAATTCAGCATGGGGGCATTGCACGATTATGTTGTTTGTGTAGTTTAATTATGATTTTTCTGATTATTACAGGCTGAGAGTGCCATTGCTGCTCTGAACTGCAGTGGTGCAATCCTAGGATCACTCCCTATAAGGTTGCTCTCTGATTCCAGTGCAAATCATGCTGATGCTTCTTCTCTATTTTACTGACATATTCATTAATCTTAAACGTTTTTTGCATACTGTAGAGTAAGCCCATCAAAGACTCCTGTTCGACCACATGCTCCTCGCCCGGCAGTGTAGTGACAAATCACTTTGCATCCCTCAGCTGATCTTACATCTAAATACATACGTAGATACAGATACCACCGAGTTCCTTGTGGCATTTGTCTTTTAGTTTATCCGCATTACTCAGCAGGGCATCTCTCATCCACAGGATACTGTTTTTGAGCTTGTACCGTTGGTATGAGTGCTTATGTTGATGTAAATTAAGTCTGGTATATTTATGTTTCTCTAGGCACTTCCTCGAGTACTGATGTGACTGATGTTCTAACAGTATCAACGAGTTCTGTGATATTCCTCTACCCCCCAATCTATCTGTGTTTTTCTCTTATATATATCTGAGGTTGTTCACTGGGGCTGTGTATTTTAGTTATACCAGCAGTAAGTGATGGAGCGGAATGACAATGGACCTCTTCCTTTTCTTTGAGTTTGTTTTTCATGCATTTCTTTAATAAATGTGACCAGTGACTGGTTGTATAATTTAACCTCTGCTATGTATAGGGAGATTGAACTAAACTGATTGCTAACGGCTGCTGTGTTAATGTGATCTTGAACTTCATGCGGCAGGTTTGTTTGTTTTAATCTACTCCTGAAGTTTATTAGGTCAAGTACCATTACATGCAACAGAAACAGTGTATTTGACTTGACAATCTTAGCCTAAATTCGTATTTTTTTTAATATAGAGATCCCCACTTTCGGAATTTTGTTTTGGTTAGGGTGCTATTTGGTCAGACGCTTAACGTTGGCAAAACTACTAGCTAAAAAGGAAGACAAGACAGACATTTATTTATCTCTTAATTTTTGTCTTATTAGATATTTTAAGCAATAAAAATTGCAATTAATTTAATAGTAACTTTTATGTGATACAAATATTATTTTGAACCATCGGAAAATTTGAACACAGAGTATCTATCACATTAAGAAGATGAAAAAGCTAATGTTTCTCAAAATCAAAGGGTTTATGGGAATTATTGAAAATTATTCATTCTTTAGTCCAGATTGATTTATCAGTTGTGACATGTTCAATTCAGGACCCTTTCATTTTCACTTCCCTTTTTTTTTTTAAAGTCAAAAAGACTAACTTATAGTATCTATATATCTATATCTATATCATATCATACTATATTATAAGCACGAACACTTTTAGATGACGTAAGTTTACTAAAATGTCTTTCAAAAATTGAATGACTAAATTACCCTCTACCTAAAATTAAAATTACCTCTCACCAAATGATATTTTGTACTTAATGTTGTGGTAATAAATAATTCACAACCTTCATGAATGAAATAATTCCAGTAATGGGTTGCTATACATTTAGCCGTTATTGTATACATTTCAGAGACACTTGCAAATTTCAGTTAATTCATTGTATTTTATATGCTTTCGTGTTGGATTGAAGATAACTTTTTATAAAATTGTAGATATACTCCGTGCAATGTCATTTAAAAAGCAAACTTATAGATTGTGGAATGAGAAATATATTTTAAGCCTCTATGGAGTACTTCAATCTCATGCATCATCATGTTCATCTCCCTTTTTGGTTCCTAACGAACATAATATAAATTCATCATATCATATCAACAACAACATACTCAGTATTATCTCACACTGTGGGGTCTGGGGAGGGTAGTGTGTACGCAGACCTTACCCCTATCTTGTGAGGATAGAGAGACTGTTTTCAATAGACCCTCGGTTTAGGAAAGTATAAGCACCACATTAATAAAAATATAGACAAGAAGGGACAATACCATAATAATATAATCATCATACTGTATACTATACTTGTTTACCCTCAAAATTGGATAACAATTGAATTTGTTAGTGATTATAAGCAGTGTTTTAAAAGGCGTCAGCGCGTTTTACATATGCCTCAACGAATAAAATTAAGCCCCGAAGCACCGGGCGTAAGCCCCATAAGTATTTAATTTTTAATATCNATGAAGCGCGCGCGCGCGCGCGCGCACACACACACATATATGTGTGTGCGCGTGCGCGCGCTTCATCACCACAAAAACTAGTCTAAACAATCTATTATACGCTACGTACAAGCACAAGTAACTTGAGTCTAAAATAATAAAGTTTTCTACATGGAGGAACAAAAAGGATGATTAACCTGCAATTTGAACTTTGAACTTGCTGCTATGAAGAAGAATGGATGCGAAATGAATGCCCATTGACTCCAGTTTGAGACCGACCTTCGAATATAAGTTAGCACGTTTTACTATTGCCTCGTTAAAAACCTTGCCGAAAAATCCATTTCGGGACAAAAATGGTTCAAGGGAAAAAGAGTACAACACGTGCTTGCAGACCTAACATCCATATCATCCTTGGTCGTTTACCTGCAAATGTTAGTCTGATTCGTAACATGATTAAAGAGTAACTAAGTTCGTACCTTAGCAGTAGTACCGATTTGAGTGTGCCACATTCCAGTTGTTCGATAGCTGCACACCATTTCCTGCTTCGAGTTTGCATGATCCTTTACCGGTAATTCCGACGATTCGATATGGTCCTTCCCAATTTGGTCCTACTTTCCCCTCGTTCGGGTTCCGGGTGTGCAATGTTACCTTTCTCAATACCAAGTCCCCGATCTTAAAGTGTCAAAGGTTGTATCTTCGGTTATAGTATCTTTCAATTTGCTGTTTCTGGGCGGCTAACCGAACTAGGGCGGCCAACCGCCTTTTATCTAATTGCTCTAGGCTCGTGATCATGGCCTCGCCGTTTGACCCTTCTATTGCATATTGGAACTTGAGGCTTGATTATCCCACTTCGATTGGTATTAAGGCTTCGGTCCCGTATACCAATGAAAAAGGGGTGGCCTCGATACTAGACATCGAGGTCGTACGGTATGCCCACAGGACTTCGGGCAAGATTTCCTTCCATTTCCCTTTGGCATCGGTCAACCTTTTTTTCAAGTTTAGAAGTATAGTCTTGTTTGTCGATTTCGCCTCTCTGTTCCCATTAGGGTGGTAAGGTGTTGATAATATCTTCTTAATCTTGTGATCTTCAAGGAATTTATTTACCTTGATGCCGATGAACTGTCTCCCATTATTGCACATGATCTCGGCCGGTGTCCCGAATCGACATATTATGTGGTCCCAAATAAAGTCAATAACTTCTTTTTCCCGGACTTTCTCGAACGCTTGAGCTTCGACCCATTTGGAAAAATAATCAGTCATGAATAGTATGAATTGAGCCTTACCGGGTGCCCACGACAGGGGGCCGACGATATCCATCCCCCATTTGATAAATGGCCACGGGGACAAGATTGAGTGGAATAACTCTCCCGGTTGATGGATCATCGGTGTGTGTTTTAGCAGTCATCGCATTTCCGTATGAAGTCCTTCGAATCCTTCTCCATTTCGGTCCAGTAATAGCCAGCCCTGATTAATTTTTGAACCAAAGATTTCGCCCCCGAATGGTTCCTACAAGTGCCTTAGTGACCTTTTCTCAAGGTGTACTATGTATCTCCCGGCCCCAAGTACCTGACTAAAGGACCGTCGAATGTTCTCCTGAACAATGTTCCTTCGACCAAGCAGTCTTGGTACACAAGGCTCTCGATTCTTTGGGATCTGAGGGCAATTTCCAGTTTTCAAGTAGTCTATGTACTTGTTCCTCCAATCACAGGTTAAACTCGTTGAGTTTACTTCGGCATTGCCTTTTTCTATCACCAGCTTCATGAGCTGTACGACTGTTCCCGAACTGAATTCATCGTCATCAACTGATGACCCCAAGTTAGCGAGAGCATCAGCCTCGCTGTTTTGATCTCGGGGCACGTGTTGTAGGGTCCATTCCTTGAATTGATGCAGCGTTACCTGCAACTTGTATAAATACCTTTGCATTCGTTCCTCTTTTACTTCGAACGTCCCATTGACTTGATTTACCACGGGGAGGGAATCACACTTAGCTTCGACTACCTTGGCACCAAGGCTTTTAGCCAATTCGAGACCTGCAATCAAGGCCTCATACTCGGCCTCATTGTTAGACAATTTCACAGTTCTAATAGACTTCCTTACTACATTCCTCGTAGGAGGTTTCAGCACGATGCGAGCCCAGACCCCTTTGCGTTCGAGGTACCGTCTGTAAAAACGGTCCAAATTCCCGAGGTAGTCCCCGAGGCTAACAATAATTCTCTTTCGACTTCGGGCACTAAGGCCGGCATAAAGTCGGCCACGAAGTAGGCCAAAATTTGAGATTTTACGGAGGTTTGGGATCGATACTCGATATCGTACCCGCTAATTTCGACAATCCATTTGGCCAATCGGTCCAAGAGCTTGGGTTTGTGCAGGATGTTCCTCAGTGGGTAAGAGGTTATGACACATATGGGGTGACATTGAAAGTATGGTTTTAACTTTCTAGAGGCGCTTAGCAAAGCGAGCGCCAATTTTTCCAGGTGAGGATACCTTGTTTCGGCCTCACCTAGAGTTCTACTGATGTAGTAAATAGGAAATTATGTACCTTCCTCTTTCCGGACTAAGACTCCACTTAATGCCACCTCGAAAATTGCCAAGTAAAGGTACAACTGTCCATCTGCCTTTGGAGTGTGGAGTAAGGGGGACTCGAGATATACCGTTTGAGTTCTTCCAAAGCTTGTTGGCATTTCGAGGTCCAGGAAAAGTTATTCTTCTTCTTCAACAGTGAGAAGAACCGATGGTTTTTGTCCGATGACCTTGATATGAATCGGCTCAGGGCGGCTATACGCCCAGTCAGCCTCTGAACGACCTTGACATTGTCAACCACAGTGATGGCTTCTATGGCTTTGATTTTGTCGGGAGTGATCTCGATCCCTCGATTGGATACGATGGACCCGAGAAATTTTTCGAATACGACCCTGAATGCGCACTTTTTCGGGTTTAGCTCATATTGTATCTCTTCAATATGTCGAAGGTTTCCTGCAGATATTTCAAATGGTCCTCTGCTTGCAGGGACTTGACTAATATGTTGTCAATATAAACTTTCATTGATTTTTTTATCTGTTCTTTGAACATCCGGTTTACTAGGCTTTGATATGTGGAACCTGCGTTCTTTAATCTAAATGGCATTACGTTATATCAATAGGTGCCAAATTTAGTGATAAAGGAAGTTTTTTCTTGATCACTCGGGTCCATCCGAATTTGGTTATACCCGGAATAGGCATTGAGAAAACTGAGTATCTCGTGCCTGGCCGCCGCGTTGATCATCCGATCGATGTTAGGCAAAGGAAAAGAATCCTTAGGGTATGCCTTGTTCAGATCTTTATCGGACTAGCAGACAAGATAAGAAATTGGGAAAGACCATGAATTAGGGCTTCAATCAATAAAAAAGCTCTTGACTTTTAAGTTTAATACTTTTGAGTTTCTATTTAAACCTTTTGAGTAATTACCAAACTGACTTTTGAGAATTTGGATATTATATGAAGGACTTATTCAACAAATTTTATTTTAATTTGACAAAGTCACTGGGGCGTACTCTTCACTAAAAAAAAAATGCGCCTCAAACACCC